AATCAAGCTCTGAAAGCAAAGGCGTGCACTCTCGGAGACATCTGCTTTTGGGACGAGGAGCGGATGTTCAGAAAGCCTCGAAGGGAAGTCAGCAATGTTTGCCTCAGTCGGGACTCGAGCAAACCAAGCACATGAGTGCATGCTTGCTTCCTTCTCAAGATGAAACTTCATGATCACTTCACCGCAAGGCCCGATGGCAGTTCCTCTAATTAACGCATATCTCACACTGTCATTGTCTCCGAACCATGTGGTCAGGTTGCCCGCCAGATGGTCACCCCAATAAGAAAGAGCATGTACTGCAGCTACCAACTCAAGCTCATAAATAATTGACTGTTTTGTTTGGCAACCGAACGTCTTGCACATTTCTTCATCGAGAGGAAAACCAAACCATTGTATACAGGTTCCAGATTGGTCAACCAAAACTCCACCTACGCCACCAGTTTTCTCTTCCATGTTGTATGCAGCATCGGTGTAGATGAACCACTGCAGGAGTTCCTGGTCCGAGATCTGGACAGGGTGTCCTGCTTCAAGCCTTGTCTTCATGGCCAGTAGAGCATGTTTGGTGCTCTCGTCCAAAGTCCTCTGGCGCGAGTAGGCATGCTCAAGCAGCTTCTTTAGGAGTATCTTTCCAAGCCTGCCATGTAGGAAGCTGTCAGCAAAGCCCAAGCGCCCCTTCAGCACGAGTGTCTCATGTTTTGACAGCTGTCCATCAAGCAAAACCTCAGAGATCCTAGAAACAAGATCAAGCCTTCTCTGCTCGGTGTTGTAGATTTGGACAATCCTTTGCTCTGATCCGCTCAAATTAAATTCCACTCCAAGTGCCTTGCAGGTGGTCTCAAAAAGTGTTGCCTTCTTTCCATCACGAGCAAATTCCCAACCAGTCAGCATAAACAAGACCTCCATAGCCAGGTTTGCTGACTTGCAACTCTCAGGTTTGGATAACAACACGAAATCGTCGTAAAAGTTCGTGTTGAGGACATACAAACCTCGAGCAGCAATACTGTGAATGAGTCTCGCCAGTCGAAGGAAGGAATAAACCGAGTGCGTGGCCCCAAAAGGCAGGGTCAGCAGTTGGTAGATCTCGGGTTTCCCCTCTTCACAGTTGTAGATGCTGAAAAAGGCATACTTTAGGTGCTGGCTCTGTATGGGCACCTGTCTGTAGGCACTCTTGAGATCAAAGGTCTTGGCCATAAGCCGGCTGTCGCGCTCCTTCGCACTGCAAGCTTGAAAATATCTTCGAATGACCGCTCCCAGCGTGTCGATCATGTGCAAGTCAATTTTGGAATGAATCGTGCACGAATCATTGATGCCACTGATGGAAAAATCATCGATCATTCGAACTTTGTTTGATTGCACAAGCGGGAACCTGCGAGAAATGACTGCCCCATCTGGTAGGGCATCCAGTTCAAAAGGTCCCCTAGCCCATTGCTTTTCAAGCTCAGCCCTAGTCTCAGCCAATACTTGCTGATCCAAAGCTTCATCACCGCAGCTACAAGTCATCGCAAGAATGGCCTGATTCCTGCGCTTTGCCCCACCTTCCAATTGATCGAGGGTCATCAAGCACGGTTTGAACTGTTGTTCAAAAATGCAACAACTCTCAATGCGGCCCGCCAAAGTGGAGCCCTCACGCAGAATGTTTAATGCAGCTTTGTCTTCATATTGTATACTATCCAAAATCTCATCCGTCAGCAGCAAGCGCTTCGACAAGGTGCTGTGCCTAACATGTTCAGGCCTGGACGCCCTGTCCAGGCTTTCCGCAGCATCAAGTTCTTTTGCCCTCTTCAACCAGTGCTTCGTCCAATCCGATCTATATTTGGACATCTGCTCATCATTCCAAGCCAAATTTCTGTCAATGGCAATTTGAAGATCTTCCGGAATGCTCATGTCGGTCAAGGCTGGATGACCAGCTGTCACAGCCTTTTTGATGAACTTTTCCGGCTCCCACGGCAAGCCAAAAACAGCTCGAAAAGGGTAGGAACTAAGATCGGCACCAGTTTCAGATTTTTTAGCTGTCTCAGATTCCTCGATCCCCCCTTTCAAAGAATCGGAGGCAGCAAAAAGGCGAAGCAACCGTGCATATTTGGGGATGAAAAGAGGTTGAAGCTCAGGGACATGAGGTGCAAATCAGTTTGAACCTTGCCGAGAACAGGGACTGGGACTTGGGACTTATCCTGAAGGACCGCGATAACCACTGCATCGAAATCTGGAACCAAAGGCGGTATTTTCTTTCGAAATGGCTGCAGACCAACGCTAATTTGAGCCTGCTGTGCATGCAACAACGGATGCTTTCGGATATCATTCAAGGTCTGGGGCAACAAGTGCAGTCCTTGGGAAGCAGCTTTCTGCAAGATCACTTGAACTGTAGCCAGACACAAGGGACGAGTGTACTGGCTCTCTAGGCTGGTTGCCCAGACACGCTTTCCTTCATGATCATGAGCAAACCTCCAGGGTGCGTGAGAGTGCTTCCTGTCGCACTCAATTGACAACTCAGTCACTTCAGGGAAGTTTGCAATGAATCTTGTCCACTTGTCTCTGGAACCACCATACATGCACACTTGAAAATCAGCACAATAAAGTTCAACAGTCTTCCACAATTGCAAGAAATATGTGGTGCACCAAAAATATGAATTCTTTGGGTTCTCCATCGTTGCCAAAATTCCACGTTTCGTGGCCTCAGCGAAGATGCGGCATGCAAAAGAAAACAACTTGTTTGCTATGGTGACCCTGAGCAAATCACGTCCGGTCAAGTCCGGGAAACCATTCGGATGTTCATTACTGCGCAGGGGAGGCGGATCATTGGCTGACACCTGAATGTCCCGTGCACGGCTCGCAGTACCGCACACAGGTGCTAGATGCACCCAAATGAGTAGCCCCGAATCAAGCCAAGCATCAACAAGCGAACTGTCAGCTTCACGCTAGCCTAATGATGCTAGAAAAACAACCGTGCTTCTGTGTCTTGTCGACCGCAATGCTGTTGTAGAGTCCTTGTTGCTTAGCAACCGAACAAAGCACTGCTGAACCTGCAAACAATTCCAGCATCCACAACTGTCCCACATGCATGCCTTGCCAGGCACGTGGGACGAGTGTCATCCTAACTCACCGTCCATGCTCATGCAGCGGGTGAGCCTGTTGGCATTTTGGCTCGGCGCATACATGAAGCCCTCTTCGACACTTTTCACCAGCTTTCACGTTCTTCTCTGGACAGCCCTGTGTCGTATTGTACCCAAAGCAAATCGGCTCTCCTTTTGGCGTCTTGTGCCATTTGCCATGAAGATCACGCGGCATAGGCGGATTGCCCTTTCCACCCTTGCCTGAACCCTTCTTGCCCTTTCCTTTTCCTTTCGTATTGCGATCATGCCATGTTGACTCATAGGGTCCAGTGTTGCGACGCCCGGAATCGCTCTGCGTCGACCCATGCCTTGCTAAAGGTGCCAAATACAATGTAATGTATGGGTCTGATCTCAAAGCCAAAAGAGCATCACCTAATGGATAACCTCCAAGCTGGTCCTGCCTGATGCTGTTCACCGTACTGCCTAATCTTGCCCAAGCCGCTCTGTCACATTGTAGTAGTTGTGCCACACTTGGTCGGCTGTATCCAGGCGGTGCATCACGATGCAGGGCCTCGAACAGGAATGTTGCCCATTCTGTGTGTTGAGCGTGTGACATCAACTTCGCAAACTGAAGAGCGATGCCACGGCGGACAAGGGCATTGTGAAGCTTTATCTCACTATCAGTAGCACTTGTCAATTGGTCTTGATTTCTAAGGACCAAAGATCCCTTTTCCAAACTCAATTCACGACTCTGCTTTGCACCTTGGACTTCCAAAGTCCTGCTAACACATGTGCTCGGCTCCAAGTACACCACGATGTTCTTTTCATACATGGAACAAGCTTTGTCCAGAAGCAAATGCGATGGCTCAAACTCACCAGAGATGTTCACACCTAACAAAGCCGTCTTTATTGCCTGCATTCTTGAAGCTCTTTCTGCAAAGGCTATTTTCCTGGGAACCGAATCGTCAGTCTGTTCAATGCTTTGGCGTAGAGACGCCACCAGGAAGGTCTGAGCTTCGAACGCTAGCCTCTTGACCGTTGAGGTCTCCAACAACGATGGGGCCCTTCCCAATGCTGTCTGCAAGAATCCTGTGATGTCGTCATTGGCCAATGGTTGATTCGGTTGGCCTACCGCAAATGCTAATCGACTGAGAGTATCCACTCCGCTTGCTTTTATGGAATCCAGCACTGTCTGTGAGATCCCACTCTCCAGCAGCCGTGCATCAAAATGAGCGGTGCTGTCAACGACAGTTGCCATGCTTCGGTTCTATGAAACTAGAAAGAAAAGGTAGATAGGCCTGAGAGCTCCTAACAAAGAAGGTACAACATCACCAATCCAGAGAATAAAAGTCTGAGGCTCGCACAGTTGTTTGTGTTGTCTTGTTGTGCTCCTTTGAGCTCATGAATGAAAACTTTGTTCTAGTTACAATTCTGCTCCTTTGAGCCTGCACCGCTTTCGGCAAACAGTTCTTGAGCACTTAGTCTCCGCTGAGCAGCTTTCTGCAAACAATCTTTGGCCACTCCGGCAAATATTACTGCTTTGACTCCTTAGAGTGAAGGCTCTTTGCATATTTCTTTTCAGCGCGAGGCACTCTTCGTGCAGCGTCCTTGCTCTTAGAGCACACTTGCCTCTTCCCCTTTGGGGCTACATGGCCTGTGCTAGATTTGAGAACCAGGAGAAACAGTCTTACTAGTTTAGGTGTTAAGAAGGCTTCAAAGCGGTAAAACACACAAGACAGCACAGCTGCTGAGAATTTCGCTTGCATGTTTCTCAGAGACGTTGTCACGTCAACCCATTTGCAAGCCCTGAAACAGGGGCCGTCCAAACGTCGACGTTTGGACGGCCCCTTTTCTCAACCCCGATTCCTTATGGCAAGATTTAATGCAGTGCACTAAGTTTGAAAAGCAGCTGGATCGTTTATCTAGCAAGCGTTAAAGAAAACTAGAATGTTACCTTGCACTTCTCCTGGCTTTCCGAACTCTCTCTAAAGCTTTGTCCAGGGCTTCAACTGCGTCCTCACGACTACGCACTCGCCCTGGATCGTTTGGGAAGCACCTCAAACACTTTGGATACCTGAAGTTCAAGGTACGGCACAATTCCTGAAAATTCGCAGTTATCTTCATTTTGCATACAGTCACTTGCTGTTCATTTCGGACTGCATGCACACGAAAGCTTTTTACATGCTTATAAAAGGTCAACCCTTCAGGTACTGCTTCAGTGTATGCAGGACGTGTTTCAAAAGTCTCAGCCAGCGGCTCATCGCTGCTTGTGCTGCTCGACTCACTGTCACTGCCGGACGAACTGTCAATCTCGATCAAACCAAGTTGAACAATGCTTTCTGGAAACAAGCTCAAGCTGTTTGCTGAGGTAGCAACGTCTGCAGCATTGTTCATCTCTTCCTTGATGCTAAGTTGGTCTTCGTGGTCCTGAACACCCTCTACAGCATCCTGAACAGGGTCGGCTTCTGCCTGAACACGCTCAACTGGCAACACAGGTGTCCGTGCTGCACAACCATGAATTCCAAAACCAGGTCCAGGTGTACCTGCTGCCGGCGTGACACCTGCAATGTTGCCCCTGTCAGCGATTTCCTCAAGGCCCATGCCAATCCTGATCAATCCAAGTAGCATCATCAATTTCCGAATTGGCCTGGCTTGCAAATGACGAGCATACACTACTTCTGAACCACTTACAGCACTGCAATGATGCCCAAGCACTGACCGAACTTCCTTATCCATTCCAGATCTCGCACACCAATCCAATAGGGTAGCCTTCATGGAATGGGAGCGAAAGGATTCCCAGTTTGAAGTTCCCTTCAGAAGACCTCGTAACCAGGCTGCAGCTTCGGACGTGGTCAAGGGCCGTGCGCAGAATCCACCACCGGATCTAGGTGCAGGAAGAAGAGGACCCAGCGGTACCTTGTGAATATTTAGCCCAACCTGTTGGTAAAGATCCAGGAAAGTCTGCAGCCAGTTTTCGTTTGTCACTCCATCCCAAGGAACAACAAAGGGCAGGTATTGCTCTTTCTTTTCACCGACAGCAGAAGTCTTATGCTCAGTTGTGTACAAAACCAAACATCCATTCCTCTTGCTCTCAATCTCAACATGATGAATGAAGCGTAGATCACTCCAGCGTGCTCGAGCATATGTACACAAAAGCATGCAACCTGCCCCAACCTTGTCCACAATGCTATCGGCACCCAACAACACCGAATGAAGACGCCTCAAATGTTCAAGCTCCATAGGAGGGGCCTGATGAGTGGGCCCCTTCTCACGTTTTTCTATGGCTGCAAAACCTTGCAGTCTCCTAGATTCCAGGATGTCGTCGGCACCTCGCAATGCAATCGTAAACTTTGTGAACCTCACAGTCTCAAGAAAAGTGGCAGGTCCGGTGTACCCACGTGCATCACGGATTCTGGAGTCTCTCAAGTGCCTGAAGTAGTTCCAAACGTCTGGCTCATGCAGCGGTATTGCATCAACACTGAAACCTCTCTCCAAGTAATGGTCTCTGTGCCAAAGAATGAAACGTTTCAAACTTCCTGCACGCTTGAGCAAAGTAGAATAACTCTTTGTACCAAAACAAGCCTTGAGGGTTTCGTTCGCCAACTCTCCAGTGGGATCGCTCCTGAGATCTTCACAAACCTGTTGGCCAATGGCAGATGCACTCCAGTTCATGGAAAGGATATCAAGCCACTTTGCACAAGCCAAATCTGTTTGCATTCGTTTGTTTTCAAAGTAGTCCAAGTCCTGAATGTCCTTCACTGCACTCAGAAAAGCGGCATCTGCACAAGCTTCAACTTCTCCGCTGACCGAGATTTGATTTCTATCTTCATTCTTAGTTGCAGGCAACTCCAAGGCTATACCATGAACTTGTGGTAAGTTGAGGCCCAGACTGTTGTGAAAGATTCCCTGCATTGAAGGTTGTTCCCACGGAAGCTTCATGGCAGGGTCCAAAGCTCTGTGACGTTCAAAGGCATGATTCACAGTGAGTGCCCAATCTGTTTTGTCAACAATGCATGCATTCGTACCTGTATTGGGATCACAACTCTCCTGAGCAGGTTGATCGATGAACTCGACTCCATCGTCATGAGCCTCATCCAGCAGGTCGGCATCAAAACCTGAATCCGGCGATTGATGGCGTGCCAGGTCCTGAGACATGTTGCCAGCTAAACCTGAAGCAATCGAGTTCAAATGCTCAATGTCTTGCTGAAAGGAAAAATCAAAATCTTCCAAATGCAACGGATCAATCTCAGGCAGTACTTCATCGTCCTCTAAATCTTCAACTTCAATCAAATCCATGGCACACCCCCCGCTCTGCTGTTCAGAGCATCGACCGTTCGGTCAGCGGAGCCCGCCACACCCTCCCTTGAAACAAAATGTCACGAAGGAAAAACATTTTTCAAGACACCCGAAACATCACGTTTCTAAAACGAAATGGAGACAACACGATCTTCTTCGAAGAGCTTAGTC